AGTGTGTGATGAGTGTTCCTGTTGATATCAGACATTGTAATTCTTTATGTAGGTATATAGAGCAATGCCTGAACAGTCCCCATAAAATTTGGCTGCAACACAAAATGAACTCCATGTCTTTTGTTTTGTGGACTTCTTTGTTCAGTTTTGACATGTTGTATCTTATTGTTTTGATTCTCAGTTTGTGGTTTTGTTAAGAAACCATGTCTTCAAGGACCTGTTTGATTTTCTGCCCTGACTGCCCTTAGTGATGGACTATAACCTGATTGCCCTTAGCAATCCTGTAGAGCCCTGACTGCCCTCAATGATGGACTGTAACCTGTAGATAGAAATAAACCTTTTCCTTCCCTAAGCTGCTTTTGGTTAGACTGTTATTTATCACAGCAACAGAAGAAAACTATAACAAACTTCATTCTCATACTCCTGGAAGTGAATTACAAAGCAGTAGGACCCCAAACTGCATAAAACTTGGGGGAATATACATGGAAAAGTACAACCCCCAAAACACTAATTTGTAGAGGTTCTTATATGGGAGTGACTAATGACAGCATCAACCATCAAGATGTACTGGTTAAGGCACAAACATTTGGTTTTTCTATCTCATTCTGCATTTAAAGTATCCAGTGCTCTATGGTATCAGGCTAAGGGGCAATCTAGGCTGCCTCACAACATCTTGCTTGCCTATTTCTTTGGAGGAGACAGTCTCATGACTGCAGAGTAAGAAAGGAAAGGGTAAAATGAACTCCAGGCTGTAGAGAGGCATTGGTAATGAGGGCTTATCGTCAGGAGCTCAGGACATAAAGGGTATGTGTTACTATATAATGGCATGGTGTATGTCTTTGAGCATCCATTAGGAAAAAGTCTGAAGTCTTGATATAATCGATAGATCCAGGAACAAAAGAGAAATTACAGATGAATATTTTGTAGTGAGCATGGCTAAAACCACAGGGAAGGGCTCAGAGTCTACATTTCATAACACCCATATTTTATATAGCTCCACAATTGAAGAAGATTGGTTAATAATGCTTCAAAACTAATTCTCAACTTTAACTTGAGTCCTTTGGAAGCCATAAAGGAAACTTATTTAAATCTCCATTGACATCACTATTTGACTTTTATCTCTGAAGACCCTCCTCTCCATTGTAAAACAAGTACAAGTTAAGATTACAAAATATTCATCAGGTTGTGTTGATTTTTTCCTTCCTATTTCCTTCCTTTCTCTTTTCTTGAGTCATCTAAATGTAAATGAATTTCTCCATTAAATCCTTCCTTGTATCCTTTGCACTTCAAGTGCATTCTCCCTGCTAATAGTTATATTACAAAAAAGAAACTTCTAGCAAGATGATAGATTGTTTGGAGAGTGAGAGGAGAGCTTTACCATCAGTGATGGTGCACCCCCCAAGAGGAAGAGTCCTAGAACATCTGTGTTAATAGAAACACCTGTGGCTATAGCCTGGAAAGATCTGATGGACTCAACTCAAGTCTTAGATGTACAGGGAGTAGGAAAAAACAAACTAGTCACTGCATTCATGACTATGGAGGACAGGGGGAGGATCTTGCCAAGCTCAAACCAGTGAAGGGCATATTTAATGGCACAGGTAGTTGACCTCTGAGAAGCCCTGGACCCAGGAATGGCAGGTGACAGTGATACTCTGAAAGGATCCTGACACAGGGACCTTGAACTGGGTTCATTTGCTGTTCTTTTCAACTTCTCCCTTCAAGTTGCTATGGTTAGTATTTTGGCTAGGAACAGGTTAGTAAAGGACTGAATTGAGTAATGTTCCCATATTTATAAACAGGTCTGGAGTCAGAAAAATTCCACAGAGAGAATGAGTTCATTGTGGACTTCATTGTCTTTGAGGCATCTCTAGACATAGGAAAATGTTGTGGATTAATAGAAAGAAGCAGGACCATGCTTCTTTATTCCCCTCCCCTACCTTACTTCTCCTCTCTTCCTTTCTCTTCCCTCTCTTCCTATTTTTCCTCTCCTTTACCCGTCTTCCTATCTCTCTTCTCTCCATCTGTGAATTATTGTTATCAACCAATAGAAGCATGTCCACATACTGCGTGTGCACATACAGATCAGCATCTCTAAGATGTACATTGCCACAAGGTCTAAATTTTGCTTTGGGGGATGAAATGGTGACCATGTGACACCTGTTAGTTGTGTCTGACAGTTTTATATACATGAGATATAATAAAGATACCCCCGGAAAAGGTTAAAACTACACGGAAGGCTCAATTTCTATGTGTTCTCACCCTAGAAACAGAAAACCATTCCTTTTCTCCCTCCCAGAAAAATCACACATTTCAGAAATAGCTACTGAGAAGGAAGTGAAATTTTTTCACAAGCTCACAGTCAATGGTAATGTAGGTTAAGCCAGGCTTTAGAAAGAGCAAAACTGAAAGAACATATCTGATTTACAAATTGGTGGCAAAGAATCAGACAATTTCAAGATATTCAGTTCCATCTAATTGGCCACTTTTTCCATGTAGACAACCCGAGACTCAACTCTGCCTCTAACCCACCTGCAAGGCTAAGAAACCTGTGAATGATCTTAGATGTACAATATGCTTACCACTTCCAGAGAACTCTGCCTCCAAGTCTGACTTTACTGTAAATCTTTATGTTTTTCTGGCCACGTGTCTTATCTGTAAAACCTCGGCTGTTTTAAACTGCCGGGTTTTTTTTTTTCGTCAAGATGGCGGGCGTAAGCGTGACTGCAGCTTACCGCCTCAGTCCATGCTGACCTCCAGCAAAAGCTGCCACTTCCAGCTGTATGTACAACTTTTCAATTGTTAGTAGAGTCTCTTAAAACAACCTTGTTGTTTTTTTTTCCTTTTATGCCGAGTCAGGAAGACTCCCATAAGCGAGCCGCATGTATCTCAGCTTGTCGCTAGCAAAACAGAGCACACCTGAGAAAAATGCTGCTACCAAAATCTGTGCTTCTCTCCGTTCTTCTGTTTCTAAAATTCCTTTAAAGCATTTGTTATTTTGCGTGGAAATTCATGATCCCATTTCTGACACCATTATGTTAAGGGCAGCTTTTTCTTTGCTAGCCGCTTTGGTTTATCCCCCCTGCCAGCCGCCTGGGCTCTGCCGCATTGTAGTCCCCAAATAAACACACAGGAGGCTATATTAGTTATGAAGCTGTTGGCCTTGCTTGTCTCTTACTGGCTAGCTCTGCTTTAAGTAATTACCCCATAATTGTTAATCTAAGTATGTCTCTTACCGGAGAATAGTTCCTGGCTCCTACCCCATGGCAGCTACATGTTGACTCTCTTGTGTTTCTCCTTCCCAGAATCCTCTTGGATTCCTAGCCCCACCTATCTAGATTCCTATTGGCCAGCAGTAATTTATTGACATATACACAGGACTTCCGCAACAGAACTCAAAGTGTATCTCTACCTCAAATAACAGTGGCTGATTGACTAGGCCCTGGGACATAGAGTATGGCCATGTTTTATAAATGATGATGGGATGACAAGGAGATGTTATAGCTCTCTGAAGTCTCTGTATCTCTGATAATAACCTGGTACTTTCCTTTCATTCTAGTTGTTTTTTTTCCAGTGGGAAAATTAATAGATGGTTGAGAACCTTAACTCTAAAGCTATTCTACTGGTTCCTTGAGAAGAGAAATGGCTGCATTAGATAAAATATGTAAATAAAAGGCCAAGTCCCCACAAGAAGATATCCTAGTAAGGAAGAAGGCTGGATGAATGAAGTTTTACCATGAGAGAGGGACAGACAGGTACACACTGGTGGCTTCGTGACTGAGAAAGGGCTGGCTGCATATATAATGGTAACACCAGCACTTCTGAGTCATCTGTGACTGGAAATAAGGACACTGCTTTTCAATTTTTTTCTTCACTGTTTTTGGGGCATTCATTTTCTTTATTCTGGAGGAAAACAAATTTCAAAGTGTCTACCAATTTGAAGATGGTAAAAATTCCCTGGTCCTTATCATTGTTGTTGTCCTGAATGCTACAGCTAAAAAACCTTGAGCTTCAGGGTCAGGAATAACTTTAAAGACTAATGTAAACTACTGTTTGCATTGTGGAAAGATGGGGTTGTAACAGATGTCACTATAATATGGCTGATTCTTTCTTAGTTTTGGCTGGAAAGTGGGAAGATGGAGGCATGAGTGTACTGTCTGTGAAACTGCAGGCACAGATATGGGAAGTTAAGTGTGTCAATACAATGACAAGTAAAGGCTAAACAGAGATGGTCAGAGGACCTTGGGGAATATATAATGGTCCTTAATGATATTGCTGTTACTACAGACTTTCCATTTTCTATCCTTATTTTAATTCCCTTTTATTATCTTCAATCCCATGACTATTATCTTAAGCAGAGGATGAGTATGGGTGCTTGGTTCTTGACAAGAAAGGAAGTATTGGTACCCTTGCTTTCATCAGCAGTGCGATTTGAAAGAAAATACATACAACATAAGGAAAACTGTATTAGTTGCCCACAGGTACGCAAGAAAACAAGCGCTAATAGCCAGTTGAGAAGATTTGGTGAGACATGGCACAGGAAGGCATCTCAAGTAGGACAATCTCTAAGAGTCTCACTCCTTTGGAAGCTTTGAGGAAGCATAATAGGCTACTCTTGACCAGTGGATGTTGGGGAAATGCAGGTAAGAAAAGATGAAGTATTATTTTACTGTGTTCATCTGTGTTTCTGGAGTTCCCCAACCATTTGAGAGCATCAAAAATCATACAAAGTAGTTAATTCCGAGAAGACTTACTTCATCATAACCAGACTCCATGGCACAACAAGGGAGCAATAGGGATCACTGACCACCTTAAAAGGTAGCCTTCTCAAAGCCACTTGCCAAGGAGGCAGCACATATCTCTCAAACAATAGCACAAGAAACTCAAGGGTCCTATCGGAAAACTTCTACTTAACAGTAATTGACACAAAAAAATGGCCTGGCCACATGGTAGTGATGGGGTCATGGGGTCAGCAGGATCTTCTAGGCAACATCAAGTCTCACCTCCTTTTGATGGTCAGCATCACACCCAGAAGAATAATGATGAACATGAGGAGGCCAGCGATCACACCTGCCATCTTCACTGTGTTGTCTACCTGCTTCTCTGGCTCCACAGTGTTAGAATTCTGGCTGGAAGCACCTTGAGAGGAAAGGGGAAGGAAGAAGATGTTAAAAGGCCTACAGGTAACCAGGCAATGGTGATGGTGATAACAGTGTGTGTTAATTAAGGCTAACTATGTGCCAGGCACTATGCTGATAGCTTCAAATACATTGTTCCACATAATCCCCATTTTTGGATTAATTCCTTAAGAGGTGATGTCCTCTTAGAGAGGAAGAAACTGACATCTAAGCAATCAAAAGAATTTCTCATACTTGCCCTGTGGGAACATAAGATTTTATTCATTTTGTTGCTTTGCTATGGGAGTTCAAACCTTGGCTCACCATTCAGTTCTTGGGTTCTTAGTATTATGCTTCAGATTATGTAATGCAAATAATAGCTTCATGTTAACACAATTAAAATCACTGTGACCTTAGGGATCTTTTTTGTTTTATTCCTTTTAAGAAGTCCATAGTAGAGGAAAAAATAGTAGATTAAAAGGAATTGCCTTGGGTTCAGAAAACATGATGAATTTCAATATATGCAATTATGTAATACTATATGCTAACTTGTTGACTCAGTCTCTGGTAACGGAAAGTATGAACTTATTATGTCTTTAGGCCTATGTGGGTGACTCAGGGCTCTAACTTGGCCAGTCCTCACAAACAGGCCCAAAGACAGACATTGTTTTTCCCATTTTATATATGGGAGAAAAAATAAAAAGCAAAAAACCGAAAAAAACAAAAGGACTTGCCAGAAGTCACATGGGAGATATTAATATCAGGAGTAAGATCCTCCGGGTTTGGTGATCCCAGATCTAGGCCATAATGGTGAGAAACATTAAATTCAGCTCCTGAAGCACCTAGCTCCTTATCCCTCATCTTCAAACAATTGTTTTGCTCCATAGCAAAAGTAAATAAGCAAAGGAAGGCAGAGCCAGCTTCTCCGAGCATTTACTAAGGATATAAGGCAAGTTCCTGTCTCAGGCAATCTGGAGGGCAGGTAGTCCATGGGCTACCAGCATCCAAGGACAATTTTCTCTTGCTGTCTTTATTTCCCCATTAGAATCACTTTTTATGTGTGTGTGTGAGGCAGTTTAATGTCAGAAGCACCTTTCCCTAAACTCATCTCTGCTTTTCTGCAACATCAGCACCAGTTCATCCTTCATCAGCCAATATACCTTCTGTGGCCTCATGAGCCTCTGGCAGAGTTTCTCTCTCCTCTAAATTCTGATAACACTTTATAACACTTTGCACATACCTCACAATAGCTCTTACCACAATGTACTGATATTATTAGTTGCTTGTTTTCACATCTGTCTTTTCCACTGGTCTGCAAGCTCCTCGTAGGTAGCATTAGGAGTCTTTTATCTTTGTTTTCTATGTTAGCACAGATTCTGACTCATAATGCGGGCTCACTAAATGTGTGTGGTTGTTTGGTATTTGGCTAAAGGGATGATGTCTCTGCCTGCACACATTTGTCCTCATGGAACAAAATTGAGTTTTCTCTTGCTTTTAGTAAAGTATTCATAGAACTTAGCTGACCATCAAATTGAAGGGTTGTTTTTTAACATAAAACTTCAAATCTGATTCCCCAAACTCACTTCTGTTTAAGAGCAGGCCTGCAGGAAAACTGACACTTTTCAATTTTTTTTTTTGCTTATGAGTATACAGTGCATATTCTCTCCAGGCACTTTCCTCAAACTTTAGTTAACTTTAGCAAGTTGGTTTACTTAGCAGGGTGTCCTTGGTGGGAATGGGAACCTTTAAGTGTAGGTGTTGTGTCTTTTTCATTGTTGCAATGCCCGTGTCTAGATGGTGTGGTAATAATTTTGGAATGATACAAAAGTACACAGGCCAGAATGACTTATTTATTCATTCAGTAACATGTCTTTAGCTCCTGGGTGTCCAAATCCTGGGTCCAAGCTATAGTCTCTGAAGCAGTCATAAACTTTTCCTAGAAATGGTTAAAGGTGATATATTTTATTTATTGCTTCCACCACATAAAGGCAAGACCAACTCACTTCTCCCCAGGCTTGTGTGACAGGTTCCCCCATTTTGCAGCCCAATGATTTGCTGGTACATTCAGGGATAGACAGCACATCTTTAGTTAGGGGAATCTGATGTTGCAGAGTGAGGGTATTTATGAGTGGCTCGTAAGCAGCCTCTATTTATGAGATTGAAGGTAGGATTTCTAAGAAAAAGCTAGTCTGTAATATACCAAGGCCAAAGGAAAGAGTTCACCTCAAACAACAAAGGTCCCCAATAGGGGCAGGTTTTAAATTCAGAATTACAGGAAAGGTTGGCTCTAGAACATTGAATCATTGGTGGATTTAAACTTTACTAAGTACCTGTTCCAAGGTCCTGTTCTAGAGGCTGGGAGCTTAAGGCTGAGATGCCCTGAGAGTCTCTTCTTTTGTAAGATCTCTGTTGTTACTGGTCTAATAAGTTTCACACCCACTCCTTAGGTAAGTATTTGCAAACATCCACTAGTGGCAGACATCTGGAAACATCGTGGTGAGCAAAACAGTCACAGTCCCTATCTTCAGAGAGTTTCCAATCACTGGTATTTGTAACTATGGGTATATACTTAATAAATCAATAATTAGTAATGGCAACTGTGGTGGTTTGAAAGAAAATGAGCTCCAAAGGGTGTGGCATTATTAGGATAGGTGGCCTTGTGGGAGTAGGTATGGTCCTGTTGAAGGAAATGCATCATTGTGGAGGCAGACTTTGAGGTCTCATATATTCTCAAGCCATGTTCAGTGACACAGATAATTTTCTTTTGTCTGCAAGTCAAGATGTAGGAATCTCAGCTGTGTCTCCAGTACCATGTTTGTCTGCATGCCACCATGTTGATCCATGATGATAATGGGCTAAACCTCTGAAACTGTAAGCCACCCCAATTTAATGTTTTTTCCTTTTATAAGAGTTGATATGGTCATGATGTCTCTTCACAGCAATAGAAACCCTAAGACAGCAACTTTCTGCTTTGTTAAAGGTTTGGACAGAGAGGCACATGGTCCCTTGGAAAAAGCATAACAGGGAAGTTAGTCACTTCTGGGAGGAAATGGTCAGTAGGGTGAGCTCCAGGCCTCTAGGTAGACAAAGGAAGCATACAGGAGCAGTACAACACCCTACGTTAGGCAGTGTGACTGGCAAGGAACTGGGTCCATGGTAGAAATGTAGTGTTTAAGGGGCCAAAAAGCAAAAAAAAAGAAGTCTAAAAAAGATTCTGGAGAGGGAAGCAAGAGCCAGTTCACACATGGCACTGTAGGTTATAATGATGGTTTTGTTCTTTAGCTCAAACAAAACAGACAGCCATCTAAAACTGTTCATGGAGCAATGATGGGGTCAGATTTATGTTTCCAGCATACCATCTCAGCCTCATTGTGGAGCCAGAGTAGCTTGGAGAAATGAGTTTGCGGATTTTTGTAGGCACCCCGGTAGAAGATGATAGTCACAGACTCAAGAAATAGCAGTGAAGATTCAGAGATGTAATAAAGTGATAATTACCTGAAACAAATATAGTGAAATTGTTGATAGATGGAGTGAGGGGAATAAAGGAGAAAAAAATTACAAGGGTGGCCACAGATTTTGGTTTATATGATATGGTAGATGATAGTGGAATTTATGGCTTCAAGAAACTATGCAAAAAGAAAAACTAGAGTGAAAACAATGCTTGAATTTAGAGAAATTTGAATTTAGGCAGCTATAAGTACGAGTCTAGAATTCTGGGGGAAAAGTCTGAGCTATAGATAAAAAGATCAATTCTTAAATATCCACAGATGTTATTTGTAGCACGAGTGTTAATGAGATTACTTAGGAAGGGAATGACAAGTAAAAGGAGAAGCAGGCTTGGGTGAAAGACTTGTAGCTCAGTAGTGTCCTTGGAGTGGGAAGAGGTATACAAACCTGCATACAAAATATGAGCATCTAGATAGGGAAAGAAAAACTGAGTATGGTGTCCTAGAACCAATAGAAGATGGATATCCAGAAACAGGGCATGATCAGCTGTCCCATACAGTTTCCAGGGTAGGATCAGGTGCCATGCTCCAAGGAAGTGAAGGTCTTAGTTAAGTGTTAGGAAGCCTTTACCCAAAGTCCAAGATGTTTTTGATAGAAGCCCCCTTATCAGTGACCATGACCAACCAATAGTACTCACTTGAGGGTCGCAGAAAAGCATCCAGATTCTGGGCAGTCTTGTAAAACGTGACAGCCCCGTACTTGAGAAAAACTCAGGCCTCAGAGATGAAAGCATGGACTGCACAGTGATGTTATCAGGGGCAACTATGCTTTCCTGGTCCATTCAGGCTTAGACACAACTATAAGAACATGCAGAAAATTCAACTTTCACTTATTCTTTAAGACAATTTTCAGTAGTTACTAGGGATTTGCTTTCCTGTTCATAAATTAATGGCATTGGTAATTCAATGGTGATAGACATATGGAGAGAATGACTCTGGAGAAAAGATAAGCCAAGATCCCTACATGATCTAAGAGGTAGAACAGAAGGATAGGGACATGGGAAGTAGTGACATTTCTGTTGGGAATCAGTGTTATGTGCTCACGGCTGGCACTGTAGATGCTTGATGATAAGAATGAGAGCTGAGTTCAGAGTTACAGGGAAGCAAAACGCCACGGGCTTCTCACAGGGCTGCCTACCAGGATGGCCATCATTCCACAGGTGCCGCTACCAAGGCTGGGAAGTCAAAGGCTGCCTATCTGACTTAGTGCCCCAGAAACCCAAAGAAGGATATTCCAAGAGGAATAACTGGGAATCCTCCAGAGAGTTGCTTACCATCAATTCCAGTCCCTAATAGACTCAGTCTCTGCCTCTGATGACTTCTGTTTTTTAGTCTGGTACTGGAAGGAAGGAAAGGGACTCAGGGATTTGGCTTCATCCCCTTCACCCTTGGCTTCCACAGGACCCAAACTGAACACAATCCAAGTAAATCAGAATTGGCAATGAGGCACCAGGTGATAAGCTTTCCAATTAGATAAGCTTTAAGTCTCTCTTTGAGTCCCCTGTGTGATGTGGTC